TGAAAGTGACGTAGCCAGAGCATTGGCTCTACCTGTGAAATCTAAAGCACGTAAACTTCAGTTTGATTTGATCAGGAATAGTGGAAACCGTGAGCACAATTTTGAGGTTTTAAAGGCCGGCATTGGAACTTTAGTCCCAGCTAAACAGCCAAATTCCCCAGTTAAATCCAGTGAGTTTTTGCACTGTATAGACTGTGGGGCATTGCTTAAGCGAAAGTCGCTGTGGAGGCATGTGGCCAGGTGCCGGCTTTCACAGAAAGATGCCCAGGCTAAACCAGGTAGAAGTAGGGTCCAGTCCCTCTGCTCCCTAGCCCAGCCTGTACCGGAGGGCATCAGCAAAAAGCTGTGGTCTTTAATTTCGGCAATGCATCAGGATGAGGTCACGGGTGTTGTCAAAGCAGAAAAGGGGATTCTGAGACTCGGAGAGCACCTGTACTTAAAACACGGGCATGATAAGACAAAGCATGATTACATTAGGCAGAAAATGAGAGAAGTCGGTAGGTTAATTAACGAAGCAAAAACCGCAGGGAAACTGAAAACAATTAAGGATTTCTTTATTCCTTCCAACTTTAACCATGTGATTGATGCAGTCAGGTCTGTGGCTGGATATGATGAGGAAACAAATCAATACAAGACTCCATCCTTGGCCCTCAAACTCGGCCATAGCCTCAGAAAGCTAGCAGATATTCTTGAATGTGACTCAAAAATGGAGCATTGTGTTGATGAACTATTTATTAAAAACCTCCAACGAAGCCGGCTGCTTTTTGAGAAGAGGTGGGACGTCTGTGTTTCTTCTGCTGCCCTACAGACCCTCCGGCAAGCCAAGTGGAACACTCCGGACCTGCTCCCTCTGACTGAGGACGTTAGAGCCATGCATGCACATATTGAGGTATGTCGACCTGAATATGTGCAAACCCTAATAAGTGAGCCAACGTCTAAGCATTGGTCTAAACTGGCAGTTTTGACTCTTTGTGAGGTCATCATTTTCAATCGAAGAAGGGAAGGTGAGGTTTCAAAGATGCCACTGACAGCCTTTACCTTAAGAAGTAAGACTGGGATCCATTCTGACATTGCTCTGGGACTGTCCCAACTTGAGAAAAAGCTGTGTCAGCATTTTCAACGCATTGAAATTAAAGGGAAAAGAAGTCGGAAAGTGCCGGTTCTTTTGACTCCTGAAATGATTGCTTCGATGGAGGTGCTGGTGGAGAACAGAAGGGCCTGTTCCATCTCTGACCATAACCCATACTTCTTTTCCCGCCCGGGCGCAGACACCCACATCAGGGGATCAGACTCCCTACGCCAGGTAGCCAAAGAATGTGGTGCGGTGCATCCAGAGATGCTATCCTCAACCAAACTTAGAAAGCACATAGCTACTATGTCTACAGTTCTCAATATGAAAGAGAATGAGATGGACATACTTGCCAACTTCCTCGGCCATGACATTCGCATCCACAGGCAATATTACAGACTACCAGAGGGGACACTGGAGCTGGCCAAAATCAGCAAAGTGTTGATGGCCATGGAGCAGGGAAGAGTGACGGAATTCGAAGGAAAGAGCCTCGACCAGATACAAATTGAGCCTGAAGGTAATTCTTGATATTATTAAAATATGTATGATTTTTTTCCCCTAAAGGCCACTTGTATTTTTATTTTCTGTGCGACAGGGAGAGCAGTAGAGATCCTCTCACAAACGGACGGGCTAAAAGAAACTTCAAGCGGAGAACCTTCAACCATTCATCCAGATGCACCCCATGGTAGTGGCAGTGCCCCTTCTGGTAAGTGTACCAGGTGGGGGATTACAGCCAGGCTGCTTGGTCCTCACCCTGGGAGTGTATATTGCTAATATATTTTTATTTCTCTCCCTAGAACGTGTAAGAAAGCCATGGTCTGCATCTGAGGTGAAGGCTGTGGAGAAGACCATGACACCTTTCATACAGACTGGAAAGGTCCCTGGGAAGTCTCACTGCCTGGCCTGCATTAATGCCTCACCAGATGACCTTAGACATCGGACATGGAGTGGCATTAAATTCTATGTCAAAAATAGAATCACTGCAATTCGAAAACAAAATCTAAAATAAAATTCCTTTAAAATAGTTGTTTGGTTTCTATTGACTGTTTTGTATTACTTAAAGTCTTGGTAAAAAAAGATTATGTCTATGGGTCCCATTCTGAACGGCCCTTGTGTGCACTTGTTTTCAACTCCTGGTGGGTTCCATAACCTGAGATTCCACTCACGTCATGGGGACTGGTTTTACGTGGTGGGGCCCGAACACCGGACCCCACTGGTCCAAGCTTAATAATCAATGGGTAATGCTTTTCTAACGGTCCTTATGCAGTCTCTGTAAAAATATGGAAAGGACCCCTGGAGGTTTACTTTCCTGAAAAAAGTGTGTTATGTGTCGGAACCCTGGTGGTGGGTTGCGGGATATCAAGGAGGGGCACACTGGGGCAATTTCAGTCCAGCAGGCTGGAGCCAATCATGGAGCAGCACAACAGAGGAAATCAGGTGTCAGGCTAGAAAAAGGTGCAAGTGTGTGGTTCATTAGGCTGCAAGAAATCATGGAGGAGCACACTGAAGCGCACGCTTACAAACCACTGGTAAGTGCTGACTACAAGTCATGACTTCAAATTGTTATATAGAATGATTACAAATTATTTGTTGTTTGTGCAGCTTAGTCAAGAGTCCCTAATTGATGAAGTCGACTCAGATTCTGACGATTTAACTGTCAAGAAGAAACCTGTAAAAAAGTATGGAAAAAGAAAAATCAAAAACACTTTTCTTCAAGACTCGGAAAGTGACGAACCAAAGGCAAATAAGATTGTTATCATGCAGCTGCAAAAGAAGAAAAATAGGGGGGCGAGTATACAGCAAGAGACACTTCTGCCTCTACTGTTCAATGTCCTGCCACAAAATGTCCCGTCATTTGACTAGAAAACATGGAAATGAAAGTGACGTAGCCAGAGCATTGGCTCTACCTGTGAAATCTAAAGCACGTAAACTTCAGTTTGATTTGATCAGGAATAGTGGAAACCGTGAGCACAATTTTGAGGTTTTAAAGGCCGGCATTGGAACTTTAGTCCCAGCTAAACAGCCAAATTCCCCAGTTAAATCCAGTGAGTTTTTGCACTGTATAGACTGTGGGGCATTGCTTAAGCGAAAGTCGCTGTGGAGGCATGTGGCCAGGTGCCGGCTTTCACAGAAAGATGCCCAGGCTAAACCAGGTAGAAGTAGGGTCCAGTCCCTCTGCTCCCTAGCCCAGCCTGTACCGGAGGGCATCAGCAAAAAGCTGTGGTCTTTAATTTCGGCAATGCATCAGGATGAGGTCACGGGTGTTGTCAAAGCAGAAAAGGGGATTCTGAGACTCGGAGAGCACCTGTACTTAAAACACGGGCATGATAAGACAAAGCATGATTACATTAGGCAGAAAATGAGAGAAGTCGGTAGGTTAATTAACGAAGCAAAAACCGCAGGGAAACTGAAAACAATTAAGGATTTCTTTATTCCTTCCAACTTTAACCATGTGATTGATGCAGTCAGGTCTGTGGCTGGATATGATGAGGAAACAAATCAATACAAGACTCCATCCTTGGCCCTCAAACTCGGCCATAGCCTCAGAAAGCTAGCAGATATTCTTGAATGTGACTCAAAAATGGAGCATTGTGTTGATGAACTATTTATTAAAAACCTCCAACGAAGCCGGCTGCTTTTTGAGAAGAGGTGGGACGTCTGTGTTTCTTCTGCTGCCCTACAGACCCTCCGGCAAGCCAAGTGGAACACTCCGGACCTGCTCCCTCTGACTGAGGACGTTAGAGCCATGCATGCACATATTGAGGTATGTCGACCTGAATATGTGCAAACCCTAATAAGTGAGCCAACGTCTAAGCATTGGTCTAAACTGGCAGTTTTGACTCTTTGTGAGGTCATCATTTTCAATCGAAGAAGGGAAGGTGAGGTTTCAAAGATGCCACTGACAGCCTTTACCTTAAGAAGTAAGACTGGGATCCATTCTGACATTGCTCTGGGACTGTCCCAACTTGAGAAAAAGCTGTGTCAGCATTTTCAACGCATTGAAATTAAAGGGAAAAGAAGTCGGAAAGTGCCGGTTCTTTTGACTCCTGAAATGATTGCTTCGATGGAGGTGCTGGTGGAGAACAGAAGGGCCTGTTCCATCTCTGACCATAACCCATACTTCTTTTCCCGCCCGGGCGCAGACACCCACATCAGGGGATCAGACTCCCTACGCCAGGTAGCCAAAGAATGTGGTGCGGTGCATCCAGAGATGCTATCCTCAACCAAACTTAGAAAGCACATAGCTACTATGTCTACAGTTCTCAATATGAAAGAGAATGAGATGGACATACTTGCCAACTTCCTCGGCCATGACATTCGCATCCACAGGCAATATTACAGACTACCAGAGGGGACACTGGAGCTGGCCAAAATCAGCAAAGTGTTGATGGCCATGGAGCAGGGAAGAGTGACGGAATTCGAAGGAAAGAGCCTCGACCAGATACAAATTGAGCCTGAAGGTAATTCTTGATATTATTAAAATATGTATGATTTTTTTCCCCTAAAGGCCACTTGTATTTTTATTTTCTGTGCGACAGGGAGAGCAGTAGAGATCCTCTCACAAACGGACGGGCTAAAAGAAACTTCAAGCGGAGAACCTTCAACCATTCATCCAGATGCACCCCATGGTAGTGGCAGTGCCCCTTATGGTAAGTGTACCAGGTGGGGGATTACAGCCAGGCTGCTTGGTCCTCACCCTGGGAGTGTATATTGCTAATATATTTTTATTTCTCTCCCTAGAACGTGTAAGAAAGCCATGGTCTGCATCTGAGGTGAAGGCTGTGGAGAAGACCATGACACCTTTCATACAGACTGGAAAGGTCCCTGGGAAGTCTCACTGCCTGGCCTGCATTAATGCCTCACCAGATGACCTTAGACATCGGACATGGAGTGGCATTAAATTCTATGTCAAAAATAGAATCACTGCAATTCGAAAACAAAATCTAAAATAAAATTCCTTTAAAATAGTTGTTTGGTTTCTATTGACTGTTTTGTATTACTTAAAGTCTTGGTAAAAAAAGATTATGTCTATGGGTCCCATTCTGAACGGCCCTGTCAAAGGGACCCACCAGGTAACAAAAACGTGTGTGTGTGTGTGTGTGTGTGTGTGTGTGTGTGTGTGTGTGTGTGTGTGTGTGTGTGTGTGTGTGTGTCCATCTACAGCATTGGTGTCCATCAGTAATGACGCAAATGTTAAATCCCAGATATGCCGTAGAAGGTAAAGACCATGAGAATAATGATATAATTTTCAAAATAGAACAAGCATGAAAATTATTATGATAATTAAATTATATCTGAATATTATACAAAATTGTGTACAAAAAATAATAATACCATCACTCCTCACCAGTCATTGTGCTCTCTCCTTTCTGGTATGGTAGAGTAGCTGGTTGGGAACATGACGATGGTCCAGACACAGAACTAGAGATGGGCCCCGGATACTGCACTGCTTTCCTGACAGATTTCCCCTACAGCAGCATAAATGGACAAATGCAAAGTTCAATAACCTTAATCCACATTGCCAAAATCTAATTTGAAACTTAACCCTATGTGCAGGTACACAATGTATATTATACTAAGCAAAATTAAGTTCATTTAACTACATTTACATATTTTAACATAATAATTTGTTTCCACCACCTTACCTGGTTAAATAAAAGTAAAAAAGAACTATAACCAAAAAATTTAAAAAACAAGTCTAGTCTCCATAAAACTCCGTACATCCATCGGGAGTCAGAGATTGTACTGAAGTGTAGTAAATTGTTGAATTATTTAGTTGCTTTAGCGTAACTTCAATTAATTTACATTATATTTACAGTCCTAAATAACAACAGTAGTCATCTCGAAGGACAACAAAGTTGTCGATTCGCCAACACAGATCAGAGAATCAAACAGTTCAAACAGAGAATGCATCGATAACAAACCCAAGCCCATAGAGGGCGGATGACCAATGTCCATAAATGTCTTGGATCATCAACAATTAAGCATGCTTTTCTTACTTCGATATCTCGTTCCACATCTGAGAGTTCAACATATATTTACTTTCTTCTTGAATCTGCATGCGAATTTTCGACCTGAGTTTCACGGACGGATATAATCCGAAGTTGGTCCTTAGCGGCTTCCGTCTTGGACCCGCGCTGCTGAGGTGGGCGCCATGTTGTCTCTGATACAGCAGAAAGCTCCGCCGGCGAGTTAGCGGCACAGGATCGCTGCTTATTCCTCTAAATGTCGTGTTTGGTGGGAACTCATGTCCTTGTTTCATAAGGTGGTGAGTATTTAATCTTGTATTAGAGTAGTCCTAACTCGTCAGAGCCTACAGAGGTGGACGCAAAGCAACTTTCAACACTGGATGTTCCAGGTACAGCTGCAGCAGGAGCTAGCTCTGCTCGGCCCTGTCACAATCACTGCTCATTCACACTGCGAAAAGTTACAACCAACTGTTTAATGTAGCTCTGTGTCGCTGCCCATCACCCGCAGCACATGCCATGATACTTTATGGGATTTTTTTAAAACGTGGAACTACAATCATTTTGAAACTTAAAACTGACTTTACTTCCACCTGACAACTATTTATGTGAACTATTTTCAAGTATTCAGATAACTCGTGCCACATGACTAACTTTTAATGTTGTAATGTTTAATGATTTCTAATTAAAGACTAAAACTAATAATGAAAATACCAATTGATAAAGATTGTAATTTCACGCCGTGTTTGATTATGTTAAACTACAAACGCGGAATATGTGTATTTAGAAGTTTAGTCAACATATTGCGAGAAAGAAGCAGACATGTGCAAACCATGTGGCTGCATAGCATGCGACATTATTAAGCTGATTTACAGAAGTGCAGCAATAATTTTTAATTGTAAACTTTTAACCAAAGTATAAGTTTGCAATATGCGTTTTATTTTCTGTTGCAGTGTACTTAATACTCTTGTAAAGCTTATTTATTTGAAAATGATCCTAAAAGTATCCTTTTACTACCCATTTATGTGAAATCTGCTACTAAATATAATAACCATGTGGCCCTCTTTTGACTCTCTCTCCAGGCCCATTGCCCTGTAGGAAAAACTCTTCCATCTCACCTGTAACTTCCAGCACATCTGCCAAGCTGTCGGACATGTCAGGGCCAGTGCCGAGCCGGGCTCGAGTGTACACGGACATCAACACTCACCGGCCTAGAGAGTACTGGGACTATGAAGCACATGTGGTTGAATGGGGGTAAGGAAATTACATTATTTTAAGAACGGTAATTGTATTAATAGCTGAAAACATGTTTGTTCTATACAGAAACCAGGATGACTTTCAGCTGGTGCGTAAACTGGGCCGTGGCAAATACAGTGAAGTATTTGAGGCTATTAACATCACCAACAATGAGAAGGTGGTGGTGAAGATATTGAAGGTCAGTAATGATATCTGTCTGTTTCATTTTGTGCATTTTCTAGTTTGTATTGTCTTTTTGCAGCCTGTCAAGAAGAAGAAAATTAAACGAGAAATTACTATTTTAGAAAACCTTCGAGGAGGTCCCAACATTATATCCCTTGTGGATATTGTAAAAGATCCGGTTGTAAGTATTACGGTTTCCTGTTTTGTGCATTTAGTCATGTTTTCTTCTGATTTTTCTCTGAATATTTAGCCTTTTTTAAACCTCTTTACCGTCTTGTACATTAGGGTGGTGAGCCAACCACCTGTACCAGCTTATCCATTTCACATTGGCTTGGTAAATATATATATATGTGAGTACAAGACCTCCCATACGTTGGCACGAATAGGAGACTAAGTTACTAGCTTTCCCACCTCTCCTCCAGCAGCCAATGTGTAGTTTCAAGGCATCATTAAATTAGTGGTATTGATTATTATTGCACCCGTTTTTTAAATCCTTCAATCCCAATTTGGTATGCTTTGTGTAATTTCCCCTGTTTTCACCTGATGACAATTGTTTTACTTGTTGCTAGATTTGGAAGCATTCATTTCCCTAACCAGATATTTGTTTTTGTTTAGTCACGAACCCCAGCTCTAGTCTTCGAACATGTAAATAACACAGACTTTAAGGTAAGGAATTTGTTTGTATTCAAAATGACTCAACCTCCTTTCTTGGCATACCTGTGGTAATCCGTGCACATGTGTGTATGTGATGGAGGGACATCAATATCCAGTGCTATGTCTTCGGTGTCAGAGTAACTTGTATTCTGATTCTATCCTCAATCACTGGAACAATTCATTAAACAAATATTTGTGTATCCCCAATCTGCTTTAATTGGCTTTTGTACTGATGACCTGTTTGTCTTTAGCAACTGTACCAGACACTGACCGATTTTGACATCCGGTTTTACATGTATGAGATCCTCAAAGTAAGATGGCCTCTCGCTGCTTTATCTATAGTGACCATCTATAGCTCTGACTTTCTTTGCTTTTCTGTAGGCCTTGGACTACTGCCATAGCATGGGAATCATGCACAGAGATGTAAAGCCACATAATGTAATGATTGATCATGAACATCGAAAGGTAAATCATATGTGGATGAAGTCGCTCATGTTGTGACGCAGTCTTTCACTGCTCACATCTAATTTCACATTGATTTTCAGTTGCGTCTTATCGATTGGGGTCTGGCAGAGTTTTACCATCCGGGTCAGGAGTACAATGTCAGAGTTGCCTCTCGCTATTTCAAAGGACCAGAGCTTCTAGTTGACTACCAGGTCATTTCTTTTTTTACCGTTTTTTTTATTAATTATTTGAGTTTGGATTGGGCCTTGGACTTTTACACATGAGTTTAAATATTATTGCAGATGTATGACTACAGTCTGGACATGTGGAGTTTGGGTTGTATGTTAGCCAGCATGATCTTCCGAAAAGAACCATTTTTCCACGGTCATGACAATTATGACCAGGTAAAAACCAAACAATTGGCCATTAAGTCAGATTTTCTGCATTGTCATGAATAATAAGTTTCATGCAGTATCTAAGCTTCTGATATTTTTACAGCTGGTACGGATAGCAAAAGTTCTTGGGACTGAAGACCTGTATGATTATATTGACAAGTACAATATTGAGCTTGAGCCTCGATTTAACGACATCCTGGGAAGGCAAGTCATTTTAAATGTTCATCATATCGAAGTATTGACCTTTTGTGTCAACATCAGACCACAATAACTCCAAACGGTGACCGACCATGCGCTAATGTTCCAATTCTTGAAAGCACAAATTGTAGAAAGTCACAAATGTAACCCTAATTTGGTTGTCATTGGACTACACCGTGTGCAGACTAACACTGCTGTACCGACATGTGAGGTCGGCTGTGTGCTCAAGGGGTCAGTGGTCTGATCTGTTATTTTGATCCCTGCAGACATTCCCGTAAGCGATGGGAGCGCTTTGTTCACAGTGAGAACCAGCATTTAGTGAGCACAGAGGCTTTGGACTTTCTGGATAAGTTGCTGCGCTATGACCATCAAGCTCGCCTCACGGCCCGGGAAGCCATGGATCACCCCTACTTCTGTACGCATCCTTTTCATGCACAGCCTTAGAAATCACATTACATTTTCCTGAACATATGGTTTCTTCTTTGCAGTCCCTGTTGTAAAAGATCAGTCTCGTGTTGGTGGATCAGCGAACCAGCCCAGTGGGAATCCTGCAGTTAGTGCAGCCAACATGATCACAGGTCCGTCTGTGTTTTATCCTTATGAAATGAGAATCTTTAGACCATTGTCTGTAAAGCAATGGAGCACATATTTAACTGACAATATTTGGGCTTGTCTGTATCCTAGGCCTTGATAGATGGATATTGAGGAATTGTATTGTTTAACTTTCGTTAAACAATACGTCTCACACCTAAAGATCAATAAATTGGTAATATTAATGCAGGCCTTGACCTGCTTAGCTTCAGAGGTCTGGCTGGATCTGGCTTTAACATGCATGTGGTGCCAAAATAGTAATTTAACAATTTAGGCGCCATAGTAGCAGAATAGCTTCATGAGATCCTGGATCCAGAAAATTTTCTATACAGCTACCTGGCCTCCCACAAACATTCAAATACAACTTTCTTGCATCTAATGTCGCGTTCATACCGGATCATGCATTGCGGCGCGTTCGAGCGTGAAACTGCATGTGCGTCTTGGTACGCATGCACGGATTGCACGGCAGAGGCCCAAGAGCGGAGAATTGATCCACGCAGGAGATTACATTACTGAACGTTTCCTTCGAACGCTAGAGCCACAAAGTGGTCACGGGGACATTACGAGTATTTTCAGTCTGCTCACTAGACCGCTGAACAACCAAAACAGGAGCTAAACCAGGGTTGACAATGGCGCACACGGTGCTTGTGAACATTTGTGCGTTCTCATGCTCTTGTGACTGTACAAGTGCTTCTAGCGTGTTCGCCGATGCGGAAGTACTGATTCATAATAAAATAAACTTATGGTGCACCTCCGTGAACACATACTGCTGTTATATTAAGTCTCTGGACACAGACGCTGCATTATTGGAGAACTTTATACAAAAAGCCGCTAGCTTAACTCCGTTCGCATCAAAGCCCGCCGGTTACTTCTGCCACTTCTGGGAGGCACCACCGCAGGCAAGGACTTCTGGTCTGAACACCCCTGCGCCTGATAAGTGAATGTGCTTCTGGTGTGCGCGGAAGCTGCATTCCAGTGTCGGCGGTGTGAACGCACCATAAGGATTTTAGTAAGTCGTGTGTGTGTGACAGACCGAGGTCAAACGACACGCTTTACTGTAATGTACCAGTGATGACTGAAGCAAAACGCTGAACACAACCAGATTGAAGCCTTCAAGCGTCACCATCCATTCACTCTCACTACACTCATTCATAACGTTGAGTGTAGTGAGTCTTTTTTTTTATTTTTTTATTTTTTTTTTTTCACATACAATTTCTGAACTTGATGGTAACAATGTTGTCAAAGCACAAGAGGGTTCTTTATTCGTCTGACTGTAGCTGTCTTTGCTCAGGAATCTCCGCCTTGCCCGCATCCACTGCCTTGGGACCCATGAGTGGCTCGCCTGTGCTGTCTGCTGCCACTATCGCCCAAGTGCCCTCTGTAGCTGGACCCCCGCAGTGACTCCCACACGGTCAAAGAACGTGTTCTTCCACTTAACCACCATCACCCAGCCTCAGCATAAAGACTGAATGGAGCAACTGTCTGCTGTAGCCGCTCTCTACCAGACCCTTTGGTGTTGACTTCCTCTTGGAATGCCCGATCTGGACATGAATGTAGTGCACACTGTAAATGTACATGTGTTCCTTCAGTCGCCCGCAGCTTTGGTGAATATTCTAAAGAGTATGGGTCGTTTGTGCACAGTCTGGTCTGTGTAAACACTGTATTCCTGTGAGATTCAAATGACAACCCGTGGACTCAACAACCACGTTCTCCATTCTGAAACTGACAAATGTGGCTTTAAGTGACAAATCTTTTATTACCAAAGGATTTTTTTCTCGAATGACACTTTGCTTTGACCTTCATAGTTTAATTGCAGGAAAATAGTAATCATTGTCATAAATCACTGTTTACGGCCTGTTTGTAGTCGAAGGAACACGTAGGTGTTTGTGGAAGGTTGTCTCACCACGGTGCAAGAACTGATGGGATGCTTGTCTTTGTGGAAAGTTGACTTCAATTTAGGGCTGTTCATCTGTTGGGCCATTATTCAGTGGATTTTAAATTGCAAGCCTTTTGGGTATAGTTTTTGTTGATGCGTTTAACCAAAACCGCTAACGTGATGTCACTCAAACATATTCGTTGAGTTGATGCAAAATTGAAACCATTCATGTTTCATTCTGCAAACCCCTTCACGGCATGTTTGAATGTGTATATGGTTAAAAAACCTCATTGATTACAGTACGAGCTGGACTATTAAGCCCACCTGTAAATACTCATGATGGTGAAAGCACTTTGACAAACTAATCTATTTTGACAATAATTCTTTCTAAAACCCGATGTAGTCAATAAGTATAAACTCTGCTGATTAAAGCCCTAATCGTATATAAACAAATCCTAGAATTTCCTCATCTGCTGTTCACATAAACACCGGGAAGCAGGAATGTGTGCTATGTCATATTGGCTCTAGAGATCAAGAACTATTTCCTCTAGTGGGTACTCCAAAATAATGCATACCTTGGCCACATCAGCTTGAAGTCCAGCAAATACTGCAATATACTAAATTAAATCTGTTTATTTAAAGAGCCTAAAGTAGTTACTGCTCAACTTCAATAACTGTACTGTCATTTATCACATAAGTACAGAACACACCATTATTCAGAAACATTTTTTACAGACGCAATAACTTTTTTTTTATATGCATCTAAGAATTGTAATTGCAAAACTTCACAATCCAAATCTATGCGCTCATTTATGTGCGAGATTAACCTAAAACCTTTCAAACCACAAGGAAAGGGCTTTTGAATGTTACTTTTCCTCATGGTCATGATTTGTTAGCGGTGATGTCAAACCAGTGACAAATGCAAAGTTATGGACGCACTGTTGATGTTCGGTGCCACAAAGTACATTACCTGTATTTAAGTCTGAAAATGTATAAATGGCAAAACAATATCTTCAGACCCAAACGTGAGTAAGGAAGTCTTGACACTTTGTATATATTTTTATGTGTGTATGTGAAGCAAGTGTTTAAAATATTTCTGTAAATAAATGTTTTATTTATCAGGTATTGTTTGTATAATCATTTGCTGCAAGACATTAAAATGAGAAGTACCAGCAAGTTTACATCAGTTTGTCATTATAAAATCTACAATCTTTACAATGTATGTAAATGTCAAATTGAATAATTGTTCAAGACATGAGCAGAGATGCTTAGTTTTAAAATTAAATCTTATGGGATTAAATAGAATACCAGAGAGTGAATATGAGTTACATTTCTGTAGGGTTCTAATTTTTAATTGGTGCATATTTTGTATGTCCTTGACTAAAGTTTGAGAACCTGGTTTAGAGAAAATAGAGACAAATGAGTCAAGTTGTTTTTATTGAGTTGAGAAACAAACCTTCCTCCAAATAATGTGCAGAATCTTCTAAACAGACAACTCGAGTGTGTCTTTGAAATTCACCATGTGATACTGCGGGGCACTATTCCTCCGGAGGCCACAACAGTCTTCATTCTGGTAAAACCTATAAAACAACCAAAGCATTAACCTTTATTTAAAAAAAAAAAAAAAGCTGTACAAATGTCATACCTCTGTAGACGCAGCTCTGCATCAATGTCCTCCAGTGATTTTCCTTTTGTCTCAGGGAGAATTTTGCATAAAATGGCCGCAGAGATCGCTGCTGTTGCTCCGTACAACAAAAAGACTCTCGGCAGCCCAATGGCATCTGTGGAAATACAAACTTAATTCACTGAACAAAAATATAAAACAATTTTTTTACATTTGCTCCTACATTTCTAATAGTACTAAATATTACAACTTTCTCAAAACTCCCAGTGGATTAATCTTCTGATACTGTCCACAAATCTTTCTACATGTTTCAGTGAGCACTTCTTTTCTACAGAGATAATCCATTCATCTTACTGGTGTAACAAGACCACAGTGAGCAATCTGAAGTGGGGTGGATTATGTTGGCCAAGGAGAAGTGCAGATTTAGACCACTCAAAAGATGTGAGCAAAAGCCAAAAGTGTTGCCTTCAGATTAGTACATATTGTGTAATTTATCACAATCTAAACACCATTGCATCTTTAAATCAAAATCAAGAATGTTACTAAAAGTTTAATTTGTAATCTTACCGTAATTTTTTACATAATTATTTTCTTACCAATAAGATTTAAAAAGGTGGATGTGACCAGCACGTGGGCAGACCAGTTAAAGCAGTTGGTGAAAGCAAAAGCTCGACCTCGAACCTCTGCGGGGAATATCTCACTGAGAAGAAGCCAAGTCACTGTAGACAAACACAGCAGCGTTAGCAACTTTGACAATTTCAAGTCGCAACTAAACCATTTATTTAGGCGGGCTTTCTCGCCTCACTGTACATAGGCCTATCTGAAGTGTGTCTCACGGCTATTCTGTTTATTTGTTTTTGGAACTGACTTGTTATCCACTACTTCCCACTGTATGTTTTTAATTGTGAAGTGCTTTGTGAGCCTGGTCTGTGAAAGGCACTATATACTGTAAATACACTTTACTTACTTACTTTCTTAGTACAGGGAACTGCTATTGTAACAAAAGCTGTTCATCAGGAAGTAAAGTCTTTTACAGTTCACATGTATTTCCTCGTTTACAGAAGTTTGGATCAGATTATCAACCTGTTGAAGAGCCTGTTTCTAAATACAGCTGCGGCTCATGAGACTCAAGAGTGTGATTAGATTACTTAGTTCTGACTGGTGTAAGCAACAACACAACACCCAAGAAAATACAGTACTTGCTGGACTATAGGCTGCTATTTTAGTGCCATACAAATACATTTCTTGCCCTTATTAAGCAAATACTTTCGAATTTACTGCCAATAACAAAACATGTTGAAGATTGCAGCAAGAGGAATACAACTTCTTGATACATTTTGAAAACGAGAGCTGAGAGAACAAGCAAATAAATGAATGCTATTGTCAAAATATATTGGATTTACCAGGCATCCTCATGAGTCATGAGTGTTATTTTGCTCCATCAGCTGATGTTTAAGAATTACATTACAGCATGAAACCCTGCGGCTAATATGCAAGTGAAGAAACTTTCTTTTCAAATATACAGGTGTGCTTAAAAGTTGAGCAAGTACTGTGATCTTGGTATAGAAAATAGATACTAACAAATATGTGGTCGTTACATTGAAAAGGTAAAGAAACATTGTAATAATAAAAATAATGCATTGGTTTTATATAGCGCTTTTCAGGACACTCAAAGACGCTTCATATGTCCTTATTCTTTCACTCCATACATGGTGGAGATTAAACTAACACTGTAGCCACAGCTGCCCTGGGGCATGCTGGCAGAAGTGAGGCAACCGGTATGTGGGTTAAGTGTCTTGCCTGAGGACACAACAACAGTTTGGCACTTTACAGCCACAGCCGCCCCACTGTGGCACCTGGTGTTCCCAGAGGTCTCCCATCACAGTACTAATCAGGCCCTGCCCTGCACAGCTTCAGAGGTCTGATGGGCTATGGCTTTTGCCTGCAAGTATGGCCATATTAATAATCACTAATAATGAATACCCACTTGGTCCAAATCCAACAGCGTACGAGCTGACAGCTGCCATGAGACTCAGGAGAATCACCCAGTTTGTGTTCGGAGCATTCAGTGGCGGCGCGTTAGTCGGCTTTACTCCAGGTCCAATTCCACTGTATCGTGCCGTTTGATTCACATACTCATTTACAAATGGTTCAGGAGTGTTTGTAGAGTTAATATTATAAACATCTTTTGAAACACAGGTCATCTTTTCAATATGAGAATGTGTTGAAAAAAGGCCGATTATAATCAAACTAACAGCCATGACCGAGCATCCTCCAATCAGCAGCGGTCGACGCCCAACTCTGTCTGAGAGAGTCATGGAGAGCAGAGTGGACAGTACTTTGACCAGTCCCAAGCCAATAGAGGCCAGAACCGCCGCTGTGTGGCTGTGGAACCCCAGTGTGTAGAAGATGGTGGAGGCATAGAGCAGGACATTGGGCTGTCCAGTAAACTGTTGGAAGAGCACTAGGGCCAGGCCGATGACTGTCCTCGTCCTCATGTTGTCTTTTGTTTGGAAAAGAGAAAGATAGTTATAACCTTTAGAACGCTTCTGATTCTCCAACTGCTGGAGACGGTTTGGATGAGCACAGTTAGATTGAGTGTTTGAAGGGAGACGCCACAAACAGAGCAGCTGAAGCAGAGTGGGCACTGCGGCCAGCCCAAACATCCATTTCCAGCCTTCTCCTGTGTCAGCCAGCATGTAGTTCACAGCATAGGCCACTAGGATCCCCACGGTGATGCCCACTTCATAGAGGCTGACCAGAACACCCCTCTGCTCTGGGGGCACAAGCTCTGACACAAATATGCAGCAGGACATGGAGGAGATGCACATGGCGAAGCCCACAGTGGCCCGCCCCAGGAGCAGCGCAGGATATGAAGTGAACAGCAGCAAGAATGTCCCGGCCAGTGTCAGACCATTGCTGAACAGGATGGATGCGCGACGCCCCTGCCAGTCAATCAGAGAGCCCCCCACCACCGAGGCCAACAGGGCCCCCAGTAGTAAGGCCGTGACCAGAGCCTCCTGCTGCACACACGACAGCCCAAAGTCCTCTCGCAGCTGCAACAAGGCGCCGGAGATGACCGCCAGCTCATAACCGAACACCAGTCCACCTCCACTGGACACCAGGCAGGGCAGGAGGAGGCTGCAGCAACCTGCAAGTAAGCAGGCAATTTATTTGTAATAAATCACAATGGCAGTCATATTGGAGGACTTAAAGTTGTCGATTCCTCAACAACAGACGCAATAAGACCCCCCTTCATCAGCAAGGAACGACTCAAAATCCCAGTGAAACAAAGTTAGAAACCTCAGGGAGGTAATAAGAGGGATCCACTTCCAGGCACTGACAGGCTATAGACTCAGCAGAAACAGTCTTGTAAAAGTAAAATTTTGGGAACAAATACATTATATCTTTATCCTAATAGAAAACATTTGATCTTATTCATACTCGTTAGAAAGAGCCTTTCTCGCCACTATTTTACACTTTGAGCTGAAAGCCGAGTGTGAGTGGACTTCATTCGGCCAAAAATACATACACAGGTAACAGAACCAAACTGTTTTGAGAGCCTGGGACCAGTTACAATGGATTCTAAACATAAATCCATATTTGGAGTTCAAAAAATAGATCCCCCAGCTTTAAAATGTTTTTATGTTATTAAAAGTGACATCTCTATCTCCAACAAGATAACGTATTAACAGACTTACCCATAGATGCTGCTTGTCCTGAGCCACTGCTGCCTGGATCTGCAGAAGCACATCTGAACTGGATCTCCAATCAGCGTTTGTGGTTGTGTTGCTATGGAGAAGGACAGCAGTGATTTCATTAGAATCCACTTGAAAATGGCTCAATCAAACACATCAGACAAAAGAGAGCAGAACAGGCAACATCTGAGGAGATATAAATACATAAAGTAGTCTACTGGAGCACGGCTCTCATTTATGTCACAAGATTTCTATTATGTTTATGATATTTACAAAAAACCCCATTTATTATGTTGTTATCAATCACATCCATTCATTTTGTATTGACCAATGTGGACAACATCAGTCATTTTGTTAATTTGTGGAACCACTTTCCTAGGAAAGCCAGATCCCCTCAAACCTCTAAAGTGCTGGGACTGGTTGTTACAGGGATGGGAGACCTCTGGGAACACCATGAGTTATAGTCCCAAACTGTTGTTGTGTCCAGAGGTAAGACACAATCTGGTGTGTGTGAATGGTTGGTGGTGGTCGGAGGGGCAGATGGCGCATACCGAGTGTCCCAGGGCAACTATGACTTTGATTTATCCAATGTGCATGGAATTAATAATTTTTTGAGTGTACAAAATTGCTAAAACCGATGAATTGTTATTATTATTATTGTCTGTAAAAACAGATTAACCAATGTATTTAGCAGACATAATTGAGCAGATGGAAAAATGCTCAATGCAAAAAAGTCTAAAACAAAAAGAACTACTGCAATAGTTTAGTCTCTCACATTAGAGTTGTGTTTAGTAAACGACATAAAAGTATTGAAATAAGAAAATAAACAGTTTTTGGTAATCCTTACTTTAGAATAGAAGAAGACTTAATGAGCAATCTGTCTCTTCAAAGAATCGACAGTGGAAATAAAGTCCGTGTGTCCCATCTCTTTTTTTCTTTCTACGCGCAGGAAACCTCTCAGTACAGCCTTGGTCACAGTTGTGGTGTGTAGAAGTCTTCAGTTTTCTTTGCTCGGCACTCCCGACCTCTTCTCACAAAGTCCTTCATGTGTCTGGTTTTGCACACATTAAAAACTCTCTTTCGGATCCAGGTTATGGTGCCTCCTGTGCCCATAAACGGAGGATCTCGCTACGTGGCGCGGCGCGGACACAGCAGAGGGCGACACGCTCCACTTTAACGCAGAACAAAGAGGTTTTCAGTTTTCACTATGATAATAACTATTGGCCTATTAACACTATTCCTGTGACAAAGGAAATCACAGAGCTACATGTGGCAAACTAACAAACGCAAAAAAACAACAAAAACAAAAAGGGTGGAAGACTCATGTATATAAGATAAATTAATAATTATATGATTATGACCAGCTTTAGGTATGTAGGTGTATGTAACAGTGTTTTGGACGTATGGTTTCCAGATACATTGAAAATCTCTTCTTTTGATATCCGTGATACTGCCAGCAGGTGTCGCTGTACAAAGCAGGAGGGACCTAAAGCGTCACTTGTAGAGCGGAAGTAAACATGTCGAGAAGCATGGAGCTGCAGGCGCTGCTGGCGCAGGGGGAGCTGCTGAAGCAGGGCGCGGAGGCGCGGCTCTACCGCACACGGTTCCTCGGAAAACCCGTCATCGTTAAGGAACGATTCTCAAAGAGATACAGGCATCCGGCGCTGGACGAGAAACTCACACACCGGAGGACCGTGCAAGAGCTGAGGGCCATACTGCGCTGTCGCAAAGCAGGCGAGTAACCGACTAGTCACGACTAAACGAGTACACACGAACAACCTTACCTCACACAGTATAAATGTGTTGCACAACAGTATATGCCACACTGTATACATGTCGCACAGTATTTTTTATTTATTTATTTATTTTGAACCTGCACAATACATATTTTTACACATATTAATAAACAGACAAATAACTTGTACCTGGTTCGAGTTGGATGAAGCATTATGCTTATTTGGTTACTATCACACACAGTTTTAACTATACCATGCATTAGAATTCTCAAACATGCAACGACCGCGGTGAAGTTGGTTTCACGTTGGACGTTGGATATTCGCCTCCAGCACTAAGATCGTTCGAACTTAGGGACCGTCTATGAATTACTGTCTTTGTAAAAAGGCGTTGGTTTAAAAAAAATAATGTAGGTGTAAATCAATAATGTGATACAAATAAACAATTTTAATGAAAGGAGATAGATTAAATGTAATCTTTAGGTGTATTTTCTACCACATTTAATATTATAGTATTTTATACCTACTGTTGAATGTAGCCTATATATTTTCAATAAGCCTATATTCGGAATCATGTGAACCAGCAAAGTAAATAATATTTACCACACGTTTTTATTCCTATTTTCATGTTTTGAAACTTTAGAAAAATCATAATCCTGGAAAATCACCAAAAAATACAATATTTTTTTCAATAGGTTTATGGTTATGTGACCCAGTCACCCCAAACCACTTTACAAAATTAGTACTACCTCTAGGCTATGGGGCTCAGGCCATGAAATTATGCTTAATAGATTTGGTGTATTTTTCAAGGATTTTTGATTGAAAGTATGGGTTTTTCCTCAATAGCTTTTAAGGCATTTGACCCAGTCACCCCAGAATACTTTACAAAATTAGTACTACCTCTAGGCTATGGGGCTCAAGGCAATGAAATTATGCTTAATAGATTTGGTGTATTTTTCAAGGATTTTTTTATATAAAGTATGGGTTTTTCCTCAATACCTTTTAGGGCATTTGGCCCAGTCACCCCAAAACACTTTACAAAATTTGTACTACCTCTAGGCTATGGGGCTCAGCCCTTGAAATTGTTCTTAAAAGCTTTTAACATTTTTAAATGATTTATTTGGTTAAAAATACCACTTTTTCTTCAATAGCTTTTAGGGTATTTGACCCATTTACTCCAAACCACTTTTAAATAATAGTACTACCTGAGGGCTATGGGGCTCAGCCCTTGAAATTGTTCTTAAAAGCTTTTAACATTTTTAAATGATTTTTTTGGTTAAAAATACCTGTTTTTCTTCAATAGCTTTTAGGGCATTTGACCCATTTACTCCAAACCACTTTTAAATAACAGTACTAAATGAGGGCTATGGGGCTCAGCCCTTGAAATTTTTCTTAAAAGCTTTTAAAATTATGTTTTGCCTAAAAATACCAGTTTTTCTTCAATAGCTTTTAGGGCATTTGACCCATTTACTCCAAACCACTTTTAAATAATAGTACTACCTGAGGGCTATGGGGCTCAGCCCTTGAAATTGTTCTTAAAAGCTTTTAACATTTTTAAATGATTTTTTTGGTTAAAAATACCTGTTTTTCTTCAATAGCTTTTAGGGCATTTGACCCATTTACTCCAAACCACTTTTAAATAATAGTACTACCTGAGGGCTATGGGGCTCAGCCCTTGAAATTGTTCTTAAAAGCTTTTAACATTTTTAAATGATTTTTTTGGTTAAAAATACCTGTTTTTCTTCAATAGCTTTTAGGGCATTTGACCCATTTACTCCAAACCACTTTTAAATAACAGTACTAAATGAGGGCTATGGGGCTCAGCCCTTGAAATTGTTCTTAAAAGCTTTTAAAATTATGTTTTGCCTAAAAATACCAGTTTTTCTTCAATAGCTTTTAGGGCATTTGACCCATTTACTCCAAACCACTTTTAAATAATAGTACTACCTGAGGGCTATGGGGCTCAGCCCTTGAAATTGTTCTTAAAAGCTTTTAACATTTTTAAATGATTTTTTTGGTTAAAAATACCTGTTTTTCTTCAATAGCTTTTAGGGCATTTGACCCATTTACTCCAAACCACTTTTAAATAATAGTACTACCTGAGGGCTATGGGGCTCAGCCCTTGAAATTGTTCTTAAAAGCTTTTAACATTTTTAAATGATTTTTTTGGTTAAAAATACCTGTTTTTCTTCAATAGCTTTTAGGGCATTTGACCCATTTACTCCAAACCACTTTTAAATAATTGTACTACCTGAGGGCTATGGGGCTCAGCCCTTGAAATTGTTCTTAAAAGCTTTTAACATTTTTAAATGATTTATTTGGTTAAAAATACCACTTTTTCTTCAATAGCTTTTAGGGCATTTGACCCATTTACTCCAAACCACTTTTAAATAATAGTACTACCTGAGGGCTATGGGGCTCAGCCCTTGAAATTGTTCTTAAAAGCTTTTAACATTTTTAAATGATTTATTTGGTTAAAAATACCTGTTTTTCTTCAATAGCTTTTAGGGCATTTGACCCATTTACTCCAAACCACTTTTAAATAATAGTACTACCTGAGGGCTATGGGGCTCAGCCCTTGAAATTGTTCTTAAAAGCTTTTAACATTTTTAAATGATTTTTTTGGTTAAAAATACCTGTTTTTCTTCAATAGCTTTTAGGGCATTTGACCCATTTACTCCAAACCACTTTTAAATAATAGTACTAAATGAGGGCTATGGGGCTCAGCCCTTGAAATTTTTCTTAAAAGCTTTTAACATTTTTAAATGATTTATTTGGTTAAAAATACCAGTTTTTCTTCAATAGCTTTTAGGGTATTTGACCCATTTACTCCAAACCCCTTTTAAATAATAGTACTACCTGAGGGCTATGGGGCTCAGGCCTTGAAATTATGTTTAAACACTCTAAAAATCGGTTGACAGCTCTGCCTCCCTCCCCGAGTGTCTGAGACACCCGGTCGAAGGTCAGATGATACAATGGCAAAGTCAATCATCGACCTCCGGCCTAGGGTGTCCTGGTGCCACCTGCACTGGTGGACACCCTTGTGCTGGAACATGGTGTTTGTGATGGACAAACCGTGACTGGCACAGAAGTCCAACAACTGAACACCGCTCTGGGTGAGATGAGGGGGGCCGTTCTTCCCGATCACCCCTCTCCAAGTGTCACTGCCATTTAGGCGGACACCTGGCTGGCATTGTGGGGGGGGAGAGACGGGCAGGGTTTTTGACCCGGAGGTTAGACACGGGTCTGTCTGTACTTGAGGGCACGAACCGCGGACCGACGGGGGCTAAACCTGCGAGAGGAACAGCCCCCTGCCGCGCTGCGAAACCCCAGCTGCGGGAGGGACACGGGCCCTGTGAGGAGGACCGTGTTTCCCGATGGATGACAAGTGCACAGGGCGCGGGAGCGACCAGGCACGCCTGGGCCACCCCCCACGTCCCCCCCACCCGGGCCAGGCCTCCAGTCACGTGCCGTAACGCGGGCAGATCGATCAACCGCGGGGGTTTACCAACAGCCGCGCCCGGACCACGCGGCAGGCGGAGGCCTGGCGCTTTGGGTTAGGGGAAGACACGGGGGAGGTGTGTGAGCCCGAAGGTGGGACACAATTCCGGCTCCAATTGAGGGCACGAACCGCGGACCGACGAGGGTCGAACCTGCGAGAGGAATCGACCCCCTGCCGCGCTGCGAAACCCCAGCCGCGGGAGGGACACGCGGGTGAGCGCGTGTTTCCCGATGGATGACAAAGCGACCCTCAGACAGGCGTAGCCCCGGGAGCAACCCGGGGCCGCAAGGTGCGTTCGAAGTGTCGATGATCAATGTGTCCTGCAATTCACATTAGTTCTCGCAGCTAGCTGCGTTCAGTTTTTTTGGTTTTTGTTTCCGAGGAAGGCCACTTGGACTCTGGAAGACGAGGGGTCGCCTGGACACGACTGGACCCCGCGGGCGCTCTCCGTCCCAGGGTGCCCCCGGGGGGGTTCCCTGGTCGAGGAGACTTTAGTACCCTCCACCTCTCCCCGTGGGGGAGAGGCGAGCGTTGGGTACCCGCGGGTGGCGCGGGGGGGAGGCCCGGGCCAGGCCTCCTTAACCCCGCGCCGGGGACAAAGTTCCGAGGACGGACGTACCCCGCCTGTCTAGAGCCAGCGGGCGTCACTACACGAGAGGACTGGCGCCTGAGCCCGGGGGCTCAGCCGCAGCCGTCGTCCTCTCGCCATGTGCCGCCCTGCTAGGCAGGTGCTGGGGCATCCTGTGCAATGAGACATGAAGCGTGTGTGGGGGAAGAAGGGAGAAGAGAGGCCTGAGGGAGAGGTACCAAGTGAAAACCAGAGGACAGGCCTAGGCACTCTGTCTCTCTGCCTCCCGCTCGGTGTCTCCAGTCCTCAGTCCCACCACAAACTCCCGACTGCCCCGGGCTCTACGACAGCTATGGGACACCCCAGAGGGGCCCTCGGCTTTTTTTCCCTGGGCGGCCTCACGTGGCCGCGGCACGCGCCGCAGACCCACCGAGAGCCAGAACTGGTAATGCCTACCCCGTCGGGCGAACGCACCCTGGTCGGAGTGCGGGGCGTTCGTGGGCTTTCGTTTGGAGCCTGTCTGGGCCCTAGTGAGGGGGTGGGCCCTCGGTTTTTTTCCCTGGGCGGCCTCACGTGGCCGCGGCACGCGCCGCAGACCCACCGAGAGCCAGAACTGGTAATGCCTACCCCCTCGGGCGAACGCACCCTGGTCGTAGTGCGGGGCGTTCGTGGGCTTTCGTTTGGAGCCTGTCTGGGCCCTACTGAGAAAGCGTGTCTCTGACCTCTACGCCTGAGTGAAGGCCCAACGTCTCTTGTGAAATCTGGGGTAGACAGGGAATCTCATTCTTGCCACAGACAGGTCCGCCAAGAGCCACCAGCCCGGGGCCTCTAGGCATTATAGTTGATCCCCTTCCCAGCGCTCCGCCAGGGCCGTGACCGACTCCAGCGGGGCTGATCCGAGGACCAACTCAATTGGTATGGTGACGGGCGGTGTGTACA